TCATTACCTGATCTCTACCACTTTTTCTAGAAAAAATTGCAGTAGAATGTAGTAATTTATTGAATCTTATTTTCTGGACACCTTTCCTAAATTTAAGCTTAGAATAGTGCTTCAGAATGCAAATTAACTTGAATATAGACATAATTAAAACTTTGGTATATAGAATTAGCTTGTACAACAAAAAGTTTCAACTAGAATTTGACTAATCAGAACTCTTATAATAATCTAAAATTTACTCTCTTGTTTAAGATACAAAGTAAAGGGGGGAGTACAAACTAATGTCATAATTAAACATAATTAAAAGAAACAATTTTCATCTGCCCTGGAAACAGCATGGAATAGTGAAAAGAGCATTTCCTTTGGAATTGGAGGACCTATCCGGCCTCCCGTGCTCATTATCTCAAGTACATCACTTAACCCTCCTCCTGGGCCTCCCTTTGCACATCTGTATTAGGGGGTCCCTTCTGTATCCAGAGCTGGGATGTAATGGCGTGGTCTCCTGCACTCACGTTTCCCAGCCCTAGACACCTCACAAGATCCTTAATCATTAAAGAAAGCTTAATTAGTTTCAGCACAATAGGTTTTTTATGGCAAGAAAGTGGACTAGTAGAGTCTAAGCGGACTTCGAAGAAGCACATTCTATTCCCCAGTTTTTTGCTTGGTTCATAAGGTAATTCTAGAGCTGGGAGGGACCTTGGATGCCATCTTATCTAACCCCATTTGATAGTGAAGCACGCTAGTTTCTGTGGGATGTGAAAGTAGACAGTAATAAAAAAAAAGAAAATAATAGCAGCAGTCTAAGGTTTGCAAAGCACTTTATGCAAATAATTTTTGATCCTCACAACAACCCTGTGAGGTAGGTGCTGTTATATTAGTTTTACAGATGAGAAAACTGGTGATAACTTTCTCGTTGGCAGCTGGTAAGGGAGGTAGTCCTGGCTGCCTATGTAGTCCCAACCTCAGTAGCTTAAGTTTTAGTAGAGGAAACCAAAAACAGGCCTATTATGCCTATTATATTTCTTATCAAGGAACCTCACCTCTGAAACCCAAATGAAAGCAAAATAAGGCCCCCTTTAAAAAATGTAGCAACTATTATAAATGTCAAGATCTGCAGATCAAGCAACTTATATTTAGGTTGAGCTAATACGTATTTCAAATGGTTAAATTTTATTAAGAGGGTTGACCCTCAGCAATTTGGAAGATTAAGCCATGATGACACATGACAAGGATTTTGGGTAATTATGATTTGACAGGACTGGCTTCATGATTTCATTGGTAATAGGGAACTCAGTGATGAGAAAACTATCAGTATGGGTCAGCACCTCTGCAATTTAAAGTTTTAGTCTTCTAGCCCACAGTCATAGCCACTATATGTCAGAGAAAGAACTTGGATCCAGGTTAGTTTTTTTGCAAGTTTTTTGGTCTCTTGATTCCTTTGCCATCTTAAAACATTATTGAGGAGACCCCTCCCCCAGAGAGCCTTGCTTATGTGGGTTGTATTTATTAATATTTACTGTATTAGAAATAAAATGTTTTAGTATTATGAAAATAGTTTTGATCTCAAGGGCCCCCTGCAGAAGTCTTGGGTACCACCTGGGGTCTTTGGATCACACTTGGAGAACCATTGCATACTGCTTCATATACATACATATATGTACATATATTTTCACGTATATCCACACAGAAAATCAGCATTTTGTACTAAACTGTGCAGTAGAAAATAGTGAAAAAGAAAGGAGTAATCAGTATGGTCTAGATAGAATAGTAAGAGGCTTTACAAAGGAGGCTAGTCTAGAACTGGGCTGGGAACCAGAAGAGAGGATAGGTGGCTTTCAGGAAAGGTAAAAAGCAAAGAAACGTAGGTATGTAAAGCAGTAGTGACTGAAATGGCTCACTGTTCGGCTCATCAGTCTCCCAAGCTCATTCCCAACTCCTCATGCTCTCACTCCACCTATCCAGTTTTTGTAAAATCTTTTCATTTCTACTTCCCCAACAGCTCACACGTCACAACCCTTTTCTCGATTCAGACCCTCATCATCTCTTGTAATTTTCCAGAATGGGATCATGTCCAAAAAAATACATATCTTAATTGGTATTCTGGGTCCATCACCTCTTGGTCTGGAGTTGGGTAACATGTTTCATCATGAATCCTCGAACTGAGGTTGATGATTGCATTGATGAGAGTTCTTAAATCTTTCAATGTCATTTGTCTTTATAGTATTGGTATTGTATAAATTGTTCTTCTCATTTAGATATCCATCAGTTCCTACAAGTCTTCCTAGCTTTCTTAGAAACTCTCCCTTTCCTTTCTTACAGCATAATAGGATTCCATTACATTCACATACCATAATTTGTTCAGCCATTCCTCCAATTGATAGGTGCCCCCATTGGTTTCTAATTATTTGCCACCAAGAGGAAAAAAAAACAACCCTTATGGTTGGTTGTCATCCTTCATTCTCAGAGAGGACCAAAATGACATCACTATGTTAACAGTCAAGTTGCAGTGTGTCTGACTGTGGCTGATCAGAGCAATATGAGCTCAGAATGCTCAACAGGTTGGGCACAAATAGTCCATATGAACATTTAGGGTGGATTCTCTAAATTTGTGCATCTCCAGTTTCTTTTGAGCTACTACAGTTCTGTTATGCTAACAGCACAGCACCTTCTTTGATGCAGGTACACCATGCTGGGTGGTCCTTTGCCAGCATCTCCCATGTCATCCAATCCCAGGTTCTTCAGAGAGACCTTGAAAGTGTCCGCGTATCACTTCTAATGACCACCATGTGAACGCTTGCTTTTGTGTGAGTTCTCTGTAAAATAGTGTTTTAAGCAAAGGTACCTTTGGCATTCAAACAACATGTGTGCAGCCCAGCGGAGTTGTGCTCTCCACAGTAGAGTTTGAATGTTTGGCAGTTTAGTTCAAGAAGAGACTTCAGTGTCTGGTACCTTATCCTGCCAGGTGATCTTCAGAATCTTCCTAAGACAATTCAGATAGAAGTGATTCAGTTTCTTGGAATGGCACTGGTATGCTGTCCAAGTTTCACAGGCATACGAGGTCAGCACAATGGCTCTGTAGACCTTCAGTTTTGTGAGCAGTCTAATACCTTTTCTCTCACACACTCCTTCAGAGGCTCCCAAACCCTGAGCTAGCTCTGGTAATGCATGTGTCATTCTCATTATCAATGGGTACATCCCTGGAAAGTATACTGCCAAGGTAAATAACCATCCACAGTATTCAAAACTTCTCCATTTGCTATAGCTTAAGGTTCCATGTATGGATAGTTACAAATAGTTTTGCATATATGGGTCCTTTTCCTCTTTGATCTACTTGGGGTACAGATCTAGTAGTTGTGTCACTGGATTAAAGGGTAGGGATAGTTTAGTAACTTTGAGGATATAGTTCCAAATTGCTTTCTAGCATACTGGAAATACGTTGAGTGTCTAGACCAGGTTCCAACAGTGGACCACTGCCTATTTGGCCAACTTTTTGCCAATCTGATGGGTGTGACGTGGAACTTCACAGTTGCTTTGATTTGCATTTCTCTATTAGTGAAATAGGTATTTTTCATATGGCTATTGATAGCTTGGGTTTCTTCCTCTGAAAACTGTTTCATCCATCACCTTTTCCCTCTAACTCTGGTCCAAACCATCCTCTAGGCAGTTGCCAGGGTGATTTTCCAAAAGTTCAGGTGTGACCATGTCATATTACCCTCCCCCAATTGCACCCCCGGCTACTACTGCCCCCCATCATTCCGGCACCCCCCAGAGGGTGTTATCACCCACTTTGGGAACTTGTGATACAAGTCCTCATTTTACATATGAGGAAACTAAGACCCAGGGAGGTGAAGTGATTTGCCTAAAGTCACATATATAGTAAATAACAGTGGAGAGAGATTCAAACCAGACCCTCTGATTCCAAAACCATAGCTCTCTCCATTATACTCTTTACTCCCTCCCCTCCCCATTTATTTGGCTATGATTAAAGGGATAGATATGAGTATACTGGGCTTTATACTTGAGATTCCCTCCAGATTTTAGGAGAAAACTATGAAGTCAAGAAAAGTGGGGACATGTATATGTGTGTATGTATCATTTTGGCATTTTTCTTTTAAGCTTTGTTAAGCAATTATATGAATTTGTAATCATGCCAGCTTTGTGCTTGAAAATTCAAAAGCAATCTCTACAGAAGTGTCATAATACAATGGTCAAATGGTAATCAGGTGCTTATAAAATTGAAAAAAATATTTAATAAAATCTAGGAACAAATTACCATTATTAACTTTGTTATCCTGAGATTGGAATAAAATACCTTCAAGTTGCCATTTAAAAACCTTGTATGGATGGGCATTAACACAATAAAACTGATGATGCAAGTTCATAAGTAGTATGAAAGGGGAATGAAGCCAGCCAGTCAATAAACATTAAGTGCCTACTATGCACCAGGCACTACTATGCACCAGGCACTACTATGCACGCACATACACACACAAAGGGGAGACAACATATAAGGAAGGCATATAGGTGTATAAACAAGGTATTAAGGTGTTAAATTGGAAATAATCAACAGAGGGAAGGCATCAGAATTAAAAGCATCCTGCAAAGCCTTCACACAGAAAGCAGAATTTTAGCTGGTACTTGAAGCCAGAAAAGAGGGAATACATATTAGATGAAAATTAAATCCAAAAGATTTGAATTATTTTGAGAAAGAGTAGAAAGCGAAATTTACAAACGGAAAGCAGCAGGTTAAGTAATGAGTTTACCAGGACATTAAAACAACTGAAACCCTCCCACAGAAAGGTGACATGATTGTAAGACCAATGCTCTCCCTCCACACAATACAGACTAAATTTCATGTGCTGCACGTGGGCACATACATGCCAACCGTGTCGTCCCTCCGAGATGTCAACTAAATTTTTTTTTTTTTTTTGGCGGGAGGGTGTCAGGTCTGAAAACTTGGCTCTGCCGCTAAACAAAGTAATGGAGAAGCAACTGTTTCTCCGATGGGCGGGGCGAGGGAGGAGGAAGGGGATGGGCTTTTCCAGGAACCAGGCCACGGGGTGGGAACCCTAAACTTTCCAAACGTGACCTTACGTCAGTAGAGGCTGGAATTCTGCTGCTGCTATTGCTGTCGAGTTGGGGTTTGGGGTTTTTTGTTGTAGTTATTTTTTCCTGCAATCTGGGCAGAAACCACATCAGCTGGCAAAGGCCAGGAGACCTTCCTAGGCCACCTCGCCCCCAATCACCGGCTCCCCCGGCCCCCTCACTCCCCCGTCTCTGGCACAAAAGGATTGCCCTGCTCTCAAAGAACCCAGAGTCCCTAGCAGCCACTGCACGTGGGCTTTCCGTGGTCCAGTCGCCTGGCGTGGGGTGGCGTGGCGTGACGTGACACACAGAACAGAGCCGCTTTGCAGTCCTCCGGCCGTCCCGCACCACGCGCAGAAGCGTTTTTCCCTCCAGTGCTCGTTTGCACCCACGCTCAGCAGCCGCGACCTTCGGGCGCACCCCCGCCCACTCCCTACCCTCACAGCCCCGACCCGTAGTGGGGCGGCGAGGGAGTGGGAGGGAGGACGCGCGCACACTCACTACGGCGCGCGCACCGTCCCTTACCCCCGGCTAGCACATGCCCTATTCATCCCCGCCCGTAGACCTCCCAGCCCCTTATCCCGGGTCCCCTCCTCGACTTTTTAATACTTCTTCCAGTCTCTCTAGGCATAAATCCCTGTCCCCCTCCCCCTTCCTTTTTCTGTCCCCCTGAAACGGTCGTGGTCGCGGGCTGGTGGGTCAGGCGGTTGGTCACTCTGGGGTGGGCGGGGAATGGAAGAAGCTAGGTTAGCCCCGCCCCCCGGGCCACTCAGGCGGCGGGTAACGGGGGTAGGGCATTGGTAGGGTCGAGGGGGAGGGGTTACCGTTGGCTAGGGGGCGGGGCAGAATGGGCGTGCGCACGCGTGCTGAGCTCTGCGAAGGGTGAGCGGTTTTCCCTCCCCCAACGGGAGCTTCTGCTCGCATCAGTGGGCTTCCCGCGCGCGGCTCGCCGCCGCCGCCGCCGCCGTCCCGGGGTTTCTGGTGCGCGCCGTCCCTCCCTCCCTCGTTTTCTTTCTCCCCCCAGGCGCGAGCCGCTGCTCCTCCCTTCCTCCCTCCTTCCCTCTACTTTCCCTCCCCCTCCCTGACCTCCTCCTCTTCCTAGTGACTCCCGACGCGGGGAACGGGGCCTCCCGAGCCGCCCCGCGCAGGCTCCTCCCCCACCCCCTCGCTCCCGTTGCCGCTGCAGCCGCCGCCGCTGTTGCCGCTGCCGCGGCCACGCTTTGTGGTTGGGGGACGTCCAGGTGACCAAACTAGGGGGCGGGGGAGGGGTGCCCGTGTCGGCGGGGGGGCGGGGGTTTGGGACAAGCCCCGCCCCTCTCCCCACCTCCAATCGCGGGGTGAAGCTCGTCCCCAGCCTGGGTTGGGTTTGCTATTGTCCTCTGCAGAAGGTGACCCAGTGGAAGCCCCGCAACCCCCAGGTCGGCTCGGTGTTTGGAAGTCATGTCGGGTCCGGCCCCCCGAGAGCCCCACACGTCCACCCCTCTGGCGGCTGCGGCTGCTGCTGCTGCTGCTGCTGCTTCGGCTGCTTCGGCCTCGGCTGCTGCAGTCAGCGGCGCTGCTGCTTCCGACCCCGCCCCCGCGGCCGAGGGCCCTTCCAATGACACTTCGTTCGGGGAGCAGGGCCTGAGCTTCACCACCACAGACCTCAACCTGGTGGAGATGACTGAGATCGAGTACACCCAACTGCAGCACATCCTCTACTCGCACATGGAGGCCCAGGCTAACGAAGGGGAACTGGAAACCCGGCTAAATTCCGCCTTTTTCTCTGCGAGCAATCCCTCGAGCCAGGCTCAGTACCAATCCTCCAGCAGCACCAGCCAGCCCAGCTACTCCTCCAACAGCACGGGGAGCCAGTCAGTGTATCCAATCATCTGCCAGTCAGGCCTGACTTCTGATGGCAGCTTTGTGGGCTCAAACCAGTGTCTGGGACACATTGATTTCCAAGAGCTGAGAATGATGCTGCTCAGTGAATCCAATTTACCTGTGACAGTTGGCAACCAGGTAGAGAAAACACCCAACAATAGCTCTGTAGAGGTCACTGGCCACAGTGTGGTAAGAGTTAAGCATGGAGAAAATGTTGGTGGACCAAATAAAGAAAATATAGCTGTTGAAAATCTGGCTCCTGTGCCAGAAACTAGATCTAAATCTGCAGTCCGAGTTCGGCTGGAAGACAGATTCAACAGTATCCAGACAGAAATTCCCAGGTGCCAAGAGCCTCAGGAATCTGGAGTTACTCTTAACAAGTGTGTTTCAGATCTTTCATTTTTTATTTCATAGATTTTTAAAAGTTGCTTCAAAATATATTTTCATGAATTTGAGTACAAAAATGTCAAGAACGCATAAAATAACATGTTTAAATAATTATACATAACATTTTAAAATCACTTACCCTTACATTGTGCTTTACAGTTTACGGAGTTGCCTTCCTTGAATTCTGTGAGGTAGAGAGTGCAAGTATTATTATCTCCATTTTAAAATTCCCTTCCCCATACCTGTAGGGGATGTGAAATTCTCCCTGTTTATTTAAATTTTAAAATTGATGATGCAGAAACTGAGAAGAGAGGTAAAGTCACTTGCCCAGGTTCACATCAATAGATAATAATAGATTTATGTAATATTTTTAAGTTTTGCAAAATGCTTTACTCTTATTCAATCCTTGGACATTCCTGTGAGATGGGTACTATAGGTATTATTGTCCCCATTTTATAGATGAAGAAAAAGAAAAAGAACTGAGATGATTTACCTAGGTTCACAGGCCTGGGAAGTGACAGAGTTGTAATTTAAACCTAAGCTTTCTCACTCCTAGGCCCATGTTCTTTCCAGTATACCACTGAAGCCTTACATAAATGTATGAGTATGTATACACTTAATTTTTAAAAATCTTGTTTTTATTAATATCATCTGTTTTGCATCGCCTTCATTTCCAAATATATCCCTTCCATACTGTCCTTCAGTGAGCTAACCCTTGTAACAAAAAATTGAAAAAGGGAGAAAAGAGTAGTTTAGAAAAGCCAACAGAGTAATTATGTCCAACAGTACATGCGAATTACACACAGGCTCTCACCTCTGCAAAGAGAGGAAGAATATTAATTTCTCAACCATGTTGGGGTAACCTTAGTCATTATAGTCACACAGCACTAAGTCAGTGTCACTGTTTTGCTTTTTCTGGTTCTGCATACTTCACTGTATTAGTTCATTGAGTTCCCCTACTCAGAATTCTTCATAGTCACCATTTAATATTAGAGTTTCATAGTAGACCTTTACATTAATATACCATATATGTATATATACATATAAATTCAATTTGTCAACAAACTTTTTTTGTTTTTTTTTTTGGCAAGAAAAAAAGGGTTAAGTGACTTGCTCAGAGTCACACAGCTAGTGAGGCTTATGTGTCTGAGGCTGGATTTGAACTCAAGTCCTGACTACAGGACCAGTGCTCTATCCACTGTGCCACCTAGCTGCCCCTGTACCATAGTTTGTATAGCCATTCTTTAATCAGTAGGTGTCTACTTTGTTTTTATACATACACACTAATTAAAATTTGTCGTAACAGCTTCAAAGCGATGTTTTACTTAGTTTACTTAGTTTTAACAGATAATTCTGTTAAAGATATAATCAAAAGAGATAGTTTTGTGTTATTGTGATACTAAAATTAGAATGTTTTGTTCAGATTCTAGTACTTTTAAAAAAATTGTAAGATTACATAAAACATCATATCATTTGTAGTTTGAACCTTTAGTCTATGGCAATACACAAAGGGAAACAAATGTTTGAGGTAATTAGGTGATCTTGGCAAAAAATTATTTGCCTGAAAATATTTGGATATGTCAGTAGAGTTACTATTTTGATGAGCCTTTCTCCTGACCTAAATAATTGCCTCAATTCTTACTCATTTTATATCGCAAAAACAGCCATATAGACCTATTCAAACAATATTGAGGAACTTACTGTACAAAATTAAGTTTAAATGAACTATGAAATTACTCCTCATGCATACATATATTAATATACATATGGGTGTATAATATATGTGTATATTACCTGTGTATATGTATATGTATTTCAAACAGATGATAATATAGTAGATGAAGGACCAACAAGCCTTGGACAAAGGAAAACTTAATTCAGGTCCTTCCTCTTAATGCACATGATGTGACCATGGGCAAGTCACTTAAACTCTATCTTAGGCAAAACCCTAAGACTATAAACTTCTGATTTGTATCAGTGGAGAGTGTTTTCCAGACTTTTGAAATCACAGATTAAAATTATCCAAAATCTGTTAAGTTGAAATTGTCCAATTTATTTTTTGCATTTAATAAATTCAGTTAAACATTTGTTAAGCATCTATTACGTGTAAGTTACTATTTCTAATAGTACTTTGGCCTACCTGCTGGGGTAGGATTTGTAATCAGCAGGGGTTCTCCAAACTGTTAACCTTGTCACTGCCCATTTTCACTTAAGCCTGACCTTGTTCACTTCAGCCCTTCATCAGTGGTTTGAGTGAAGATATAGAGCAAATGAAGATAACAGATATGCCTTGAGTTGTTTGAACTGACTCAGAAGAGAAGAATAACTGAAACCACTAAAATAAGAAATTAGAATGCCGTGCCCCTTTTAGTGAAGAGTAAGGGGAGAGAGCACAGTCAGTGAGCTAACTACAGTCAGTAACTGTAACTGACCTGTATTTAGAAAATCAAATGTGATCTGTCAGTCAGTGACTAAAATATGTCTGGAAGAGTATCAGTTGCATATTCTTGATTTGTTTTTTCTGGGTTGTCCTTTTTGTTTTGGCAGTTTGGTAACCCTTATTCGACATCCATCTGAACTAATGAACGTTCCTCTTCATCAGCAGCAAAACAAATGTACCACATTAGTGAAAAATAAAACTGCTGCTGCTACTACTGCTTTGCAATTTACATACCCATTATTTACTGCAAATGCCTGTTCTACTGCTGGGAATTCTAATCTTTCACAAACACAGGTAGGGAAAATGATTAATGAAGCTCTGAAGTACTAACTTTTGATGGGTTGCCATGGCCAAAGAATTCACCTAAGGTGGCCAACCTACTAGCGCTGAGCCTTTCCATATTTAACTGGACTGTCCCTTGGACAGCAGACACACTCAATTGCTAGCATCATGTTCCGAGCATTTCCAGCTTGGTGGAAATGCCAGAGCTTGTGCTCCGTTCATGTACTCCTTAAGTACCCACAGTCATGCCTATGCCAGAATAAGGCATTAGAATAGGATTTTTGTAAAGGAACTTTTGATAGATTTTATTAATCATTGTCTTAATTAGGCCTTATGGATTGTATTCTTTTGGATCTGATAAGTAACTTTTTAATAAAGGTATTTGGGGAATATTTTAGACTCCACAATATTTAGTTTGCAAATTTAAAGTCTCAAAGTTGTATATCCATAAGTGTTGTTAATAGTATTTACTTCATGTTAAAGTACATTTTACTTGTGGCAGCAGAGAGGAGATTAAGATGCATATTAATAATAAAATTAATTATATTGCTATTCCTTCATTATATTCCAGAGTTCTAGTAACTCTTCTATACTTGAAGCTGCCAAACATCAAGATATTGGGTTACCCAGAGCATTTTCTTTCTGTTACCAGCAAGAGATTGAATCTACTAAACAGACATTAGGCAGTAGAAACAAGCCTTTACCTGAGCAGGTTTGGATTAAAGTAGGAGGTAAGATATATGACATAGGATAACAGAGTTTCTTTCTTTGGCTAGGCTATGCAGTAGACAGTGTAAAAATTGCATTAGACTTTGGTTTTGTCACACAACGATTTCCCATTACTGGGAAACCTTTTTAGAATTTTATCAGTGATTCCTATTCCTCTTTTTCCTACCTTCCACATGTCCCTAGAGCAATCAAATTTCATAGTTTGAGCAGTCCTTCTCAAGCTTGAGCATTTGAATTGTGCTTACCTAGTATAGCAGTGTATTGACTTGTTGGGCTTTTTTTCTTTTTAATAGTGAATTTAGTAAATAGCTAATAATGATTTTTTGTAATAATAGTTTTTATCTTCAAGTTGCTTAAAGCACATCATAGTTCTTCCTTTTTAGTTTTCTCTCCATCTCTAATTGAGGAGTCTGAAATCCTCTACAGGTAAATTGTCATTATAGCAGATATTGCAATGAGGTACTTAGTATAAAAAAATCTTTTTTTTCCAAATCATAAGTGATTGACCTTTAACAATGGTTTGGGGCTCTACTTCCAACAAGTTTTCTATGACAAATAATTCAATAGAAGTACTTTTGTCTCTCGTAGAGTAATTGGGCTCTGTACAATGAAAGTATGAGTGAATGTTCTTTGAATTACAGTTAAGAGCTACTGAGTTATAGCTGAATTCTTTGCAGCTCTTCTTTTGCCACTTTGCAGCATTTGTACTAGTAAAGAAGCCCTTTTGATGGGGACCTGTCCTCTAAAATTATGACCCTGAGATTTTTTACTTCATTTTGCCACATGGCATGAAAGTCTACCACTTAGAGATTCATTTGTGCTTTGACTTATGAAATATAAATCCTTATGAGATGTTAAAATGGTTATCAGTCTTTCAAATCTTAGTGTGAATTAGGTTGATCAGAATGCTTTCTTCCTATTAAGAAATTGAGATTCATACTAAGAGAAAGGGAATTGTTACTGGGGATAAGTTAAAGAAATTTTATAGCTTGGTATAGGTATAAGCCTAATGCCAGAGTTTGGATATGCAGACATGGAACGCTTAAGAGTCATGGTGGGAAAAAGCTCAGAAAGGGACATAAGATGATGCCAACACAAATTTGGCCTATTTTGAAGTTTTGTACAAGGTCAGCCCTATTTTTCAACCCTTGACGCTTCAAACATTTTTCATCAAGTGGGGTTCGAGGAGTGAGAGGCACAGCTTAAACTTTAAAAACCATCCAATAAAACAAAGTTTCTTAGAGCTTTTAAGGAAAGGGTTACGATAAAGGTGTTTGCCATGCCACCCCTTGCTCTTACTATATCAAATAAGAACCACTGAAAGGCTGAGTTTGTTATATTAGGGAAATAATCCTATGAAATTCATTATAATAAGACTTTACTGGCTTTTGAAGAATAAGTACAGATTCAATGTCAGTGTTTCTAATTAGTTTGTAGTAAGATCTCCTTTAGGGTTAAGAAGGTGTTACATCTCATGCCCTTCAGGTTTTTGTTCTCTTTTCTAAAAATTGCAGTAAGAATAACAATTGTAGTAATATTATATTGTGCCTTAATAAAGGGAAGGGAAGATGTTTTCTTGTTTGGAGAAAGCAATTCTGTGTATTAGGCCTTAGTTTTTCAATTTTTATTTACTCTGAATACTAGCAAATGTGAACAATTCCAACTTATGTACAATAAGTACCTAAAGATTCTTTTAAAAATAGAAACTGGAATACAAAGGTATTTCATTATTAATAGAGACATTTCAAATATAGTATTATAAAATAGACTTCAGATTTAATGCTAGGCCGCCAATTAATTTCATTGCTGAAAGGGAGTTTTTACTATAGAAGTACAGTAGTTAACTTTTAATTTATTAGTTTTGCATTGAGTTATATTCAAACTACAAAATATTAGTTTTTTCTATTTTGTACTTAATACAGAATCTAATAATGCAGAAAAATCAAGGATTAATGTATTAGGAATTCATTTAAAAGGAGAATAAAAAATTAAAGTACTACTTTTTTTCTTGTTTTGCAAAGAAGAAGCGTTATGTAAACAAGCAATAAATAAAAGAAATCGCAGTCGAATGCGTCAGTTGGACACAAATGTAGAAAGAAGAGCTCTTGGTGAAATTCAAAACGTAGGAGAAAGCCAGAGCACCACAACTTCACAGGGTGCTTGGCAGTCTACAGAATCCGCACAATCAAGCCTAGGCGACCAGACACAAAGTGGGCAACAGGGTGGACGCTCTCAGCGCAGGGAGAGGCACAATCGAATGGAAAGAGATAGAAGGTAAGTAATGTGATTTAGTAGATTTTATTCACAAAATTATTTCGAAAGCATTGGTTTCTCATAATCAATGAGCTTTTGAACCATTTTCTGTTTATTAGGACCTTAATTAAAGGGTAGGCAATAACATTTTTTTTTCTTTAATAGTAGTTTTAGTAAAATGGTAAGGGATAAGATTGAAACTAATGGCTGGAATATTGGTAAAGTAAATTCATAGATTAAATAAACCCATCTGTATTATTCATATTCCTAATCCCTTTCATCTTCTCCCATAATCAAGAGTTGGCCATTTTAATTGATTTTTAAAATTGTACTTACTTCACTGAAGTTTGATTCCAATGCATCATTCTAAAATGGCAGTGACTCTGAGTTCTCAAAGGCTATGCAAGTCCTTCACACAGGCTCTGGCAAATCCTTCAAAACTTGAAAGACTTTGGGTCTGGTTCTGATGACCATTTCTTGTCTGAGGACAAGCCTAGCTAAATCTGGAGAAACTCACCACCAGGCAACTGCAGGATAATTAATTTTTTGACCATAGCTCACATCATATGCCACATTCTTCATTATGATCTACTCCTCCTGCCCCCAACTGCTAGTATCCTCTCCAACTCCCAACTTAACTTTGTACTTATTGTGTATATTTATTGTATATACTTAATATGTACATGCTGTTTTCCCCTACAGAATTTAAGTTCCTTGAGGGCAAGGACTATTTAGTGCTTGGTACATAATAAGAGCTTATTAAGTGCTTTTTGATTGATAGCAACTCATAGACTTCCCATGACATTGCTCTCTTGGTTCTCCTACTTGTCTTAATCTCATCTTCTCAGTCTCCTTTGCTGATTCAGTATCCATATCATACCTCCTTACTGGTGGGTATATCTCAACTATTTGTCCTGGACTCTCTTCTCTCTCACTTGGTGACCTTATCAGCAACCCTGGGTTTAAATATCCTTTTTATGCAGCTGTCCCTCAGAAATGTAAATTCATTCCCACTCTCTCTTGAGTTCTAGTCCTACATCTCCAATTGCCTCAAACTCAACCTGTCCCAAAACTTACCTATCTTCTGAAATTCCTTGTTTATGTCAAAAGTGCCACCATCTTTTTAGTCATCCAGGTTCAAAACATTGAAATTACACTTTCTAGACTTCCTACTTTCTTATCCCACATATCCATTAAGTTGTCGCTTCTGTTTTCACAACATCTCTAACATCCATCCCATCATTCACATAGCTGCTATTCTAATTCATACCCTCATTACCTTTTGCCTGTACTCTTGCAATAATCTTCTTAATTGGTCCCTGCCTCAAATCTTTCGTCCATTGGCCACAGAGATGCCAAAGTATAGATCGACCTACGTATGGAATAAATTTCATTGGCTCTCTATTGCCTTTAAGGTAACACGTGAACTGCTCCAGTTTTAAAACCCTTCATGGCTTTGCCCCATCTTACTTTTCCAGTCTTAATGTACATTAATCCCCCTCCCCAAATGGTCCAGCCAAAATAGCCCTTTTACAGTTCTTCACATATGATATTAAATCTTCAGTACCTTTGTACTGACTGTCCCCGTGCCTGGAATACATTTCCTTCTTTTCTTCTTAAAATCACTTGATTCCTTCAAAGGTCAAGTCAAACACTACCTTCTACATGAATCTATCCAAATCTCTCCAATTGCTAGTGCTGACTTCTTTCAAATCTTGTATTTATCTTGTATGTACTTATGTGTATATATATTGTGTCCTTTGGTAGAATGTAAGCTCCTTATGGGCAGATACTGTTTCATTTTTGTCTTTGTATCCCCAGTCATATAGAAGGGGCTTAATAAATGTTTGTTGACTGATTGATTGGTAGAGAGATTGCAGTCTGCATTGGTGGAGGCAGTATCCACACTGATGAAATCACAGATCCTTCAAATACTGTCTTGTTTAATATTTGAACATATAATAATAGCTGCCTACAGATGTCACTTAAAGGTTTACAAAGGACTTTTAACATATATTATCTCATTTGATCCTCACAACAATCCTGTGAGATGGTACTACAATTATTATCATCATTATTTTACTGATGAGGAAACTGATATTCAACAAGATTGCCTTCCTTAGGTTTATACAGCTAGTTAAGTGTTGGAGGTGGGATTTGAACCTAGGTCATTCCTGATTTCAAGTCTACTCTCCCCTCCATCACATTGCCATCTTTATATAAAGACATAGATGTATAAAAATTTTCACAAATTCAAAGTTGAATCTTATTGTTCTAATGCTTAATTGAAGTAAGTTCCATTATAAAGGAGAGCTGTATCAGGTTCATATAAGCTATAGTTATTTTCATGGTAGTTATTGTACTTTTGCTTTCATAAGCACACCAAGTGTCTTGTGATATGTTTCTTCTTGCCTGTGAGTATGCAATGAAGTCGTCTCCAATTTCTCTGTAGGGAGAGCTGTGAACCGTAATTTAATTTAGCTTCAACTTCTTATGTCTTCTGGTTTTATTACAGTAATAATGACAATGTGAATGTGTTTCCTTCCTGCAGTCTTATATCAATTCAGTTGATGGACAAAGATCTTGTACTTATGATACCAGTAGTTAAGTTGATGTTTGTAGATGGCATGAAAATCATGTGATTCTTAGCACCCTATAGTCCCTTTTCTGTCACTTGGCTACCCTTACACTGTGGAATTGGGAGGAGGCTGCCTAGGACTGAGGACTATTTTGCTTTTTCTTTGTTTCATGGCTTGTCATGGCTGAAGAATTAATGACCTAATGGTCATTCAGCTGGTGGTGAGCCTTTTGTGTTCTTAGCTAAGCTGGTCCTTTGACAATGGGAGTGATCTGTCATAGGATCGTATTTGAAACCTTTCCAGTCTGGTAGAATCTGCCAGAGTTTGTACTTCACTGATATACTCTTTAAGAACTCAGAATATCCTTGAATCTCTATAAGGCATTGGATAAAGAGTTTTCCAGAGGATGAAGAAGAACATGACAAGAGACTTCTAAACCAAGTCAATATATGTATGTGTATACAAAGATATAAATATACACATATGTTCATATGTGTATGGATAAGTATGTATGTCATGATACTCAGTGACTTCGTTATGAAGATGGGCATGGGGAAGGGTTGCAAAATGTTTTGCAACAAATGGTTTGGAATTAAGAGAGTCTAAAGTCTCAAAGATAATTCCAAAGCATTGTCTATATTTCAACAAATACTTTCTATAGGGAAAGGTTTTTAAGAGGTACACCAAAGAACTTCGCAGAAAATGAAATTGACCAATATCTTATAGTAGTGTCTGAGTCGTTTCTGAATTTGCATTCTTTGTAGAATTGAACCATCAATTAGAGCAAAGATCAAAATCAACATCAAATTGAAAAAAGGATAAAGCTAAAACAACACTATATGCAGTTACAGCAACTGAAACCCAACCTATTTGAACAAACTTTTGACTCTGAAAAATGGGAAATGACTACAGATAAAGATATTGACTCTGATTATCATCATTTCTTAGAGAAAGACCAAATGCTATAAATATATTAAGAAGTTTGGCTTTTTTTTAAGTCCTAAAATTGCCTCATCTAGTGAACATGTTTGATGACCTAGTGAAGCAGAATCAAAACAGCCATGGTCAACATGAATTTTCAGTACAGAACATTATATACAAAGCAAAGGGGAAGTTACCTATAACATTGCCTCACAAAACCGTTAAATGTAGCAAAAGGGAAAATGAGTCTTCAGAAAGCTGTGCATGAGATCCAGTTGCACCAGTTCATCCTAATAGCATTTATAGATGAAACTAGAAGGAAGATAACAAATAAAATTTAAAAAGCAACAGATTTGCCAGCCATTCTGGCAGTAGAACCCATTACATTTGGACTCTTTTCATCTCAGTACTTGATGAAGATCGAGAGCTGGCACTTGAGAAACTGACATTGAGAAGAGTGGCTGGGTCTGCTGAAGCATACACGGAAGAACTCTTCTTGAGGCAACACAAATTTTAAGAATTTTCAAGATTCATAAAATGGGGAAAGATAACAGAAGAGTGGGGGAAAATCCTTTATGGTACTATTACCAAGAAAAGACAATAGTATCAACAGTTACTGACTGACCCATTTCCCTACTTTATTATTCTGATGAGAATGAAACCTATTAAGGGTGTCCTTGATAAATCAAATTTGAAAAGGGACAGGAAGACTCACAGACTGTTTTCTAGGATATTGCCTCTTCATTCACACAACTGACTGAACAGTGTAGAGAATACAAGGACCAACTGTATCTTATTACAAAAATTATTTGACTTGGTAGAGCAGAACACAGATTTTAAAATTCCATTTAAACAATGTATGTATTAAGATCATATGCGATTCCTTGATAGATGTAACCACTGAGGTAATTTTGTTCAATGAAATAATGATTATCAAACGAAACATAAAACAAAGGAAATGCCCTGGCCAAAGGTTTTTTACTACCATCATTGAGGATGTCCTGAACAAATTCCAAAAGGAAGATTGAATCCCTGTGGATGATATTAAACTGATTGCACCAAGCTCCAGAATATTACAGGCTTTCCATAATGAGATGCATTGCTACAAAAGAGATTGGCAAAGAAATCTACATAAGATAAGCCAAGTGGATAAAGAATACATATTGCCCAGGTTATGACATATAGGTGGATGGTCAGCCCATTAAGTTGGTCACTATTTATATCCTGGATAAGGCACTACATGGACAGTTTTTGGGGGCCAGAACTGAATAGAAGGAAGAGCATGTGCTTAACTGCATTTGGGAAATTATACATTGCCTTCCGTGATTCTAAGCTGTTCCCTGACACACAAACCCATTTTTAATACCAATATTCTCCAGGTGATGCTTTGTGACTGTGAATGATGGAATACCTCAATCTCTGAAGAATGATACTTGTGGATGATCCAAAGGGTATTGGAGAGATTCATAGTGGGCTTTGTAAGTAGGCTGTGTGTATTACCAACGATGACTTGCCTGCGAGAAGTACAATAAAATATCATATAGAAAATGTATACTTGGAAAAGGAGATGGGATTGTCATGTAGCAAAAGTGAGTTATCCAGCTGGTTGGTTCATGTACAACCCTGGTACCCATAAGAAGTTAAGGCCTAGGGGCAGCTAGGTGGCACAGTGGATAGAGCACCAGCCCCAGAGTCAGGAGGACCTGAGCTCAAATCCAGCCTCAGACACTTGACCCTTACTAGCTTTGTGACCCTGGGCAAGTCACTTAACCCCATGGCCTAGCAAAAAAAAAAAAAAAAAAAGAAGAAGAAGTTAAGGCCTAGAAGAAGACCTGCGGTGTTTTGTGCAAATCTTCCATGGTGGATTTACAGAAGGATATATGAACAAGAATCACCCAAAATGAGACATTTCAATATGCACTGGTGGAGGGAATACCCATGTTGATGACATCATGAAGACATATAGGGCACAAGCATATATTAATCACTTCAGGGCTTCAGTAGCCTATAAGTTTTATATAAGTAATTACAAATGTATCCTTTGAGAGGCAGTGTGTCATAGTGGATAGAGGGCTGGCCTTGGACTCAGGAAGACCTGGGTTCAAGTCTTCCCTTTGACCTGTACAACTGGTGTGACTAGTGGGCAAGTCACTTAACCTCTCAATGCCCCAGGCAATTTTATTATACAGTAAGTTGCAAAAAAGTTGTTGACCTGCATCAGTGGAAGGAATTTTCACACTGGGAGTGCTATGCACTAATGAAATCACAGATCCAGATTTTAAAAAACAAAACCAAAAACCTTTTCTTTCCTGGGTATCCAGTTGAACCTCAGTTATATAGTTGTGCCTCTAGACCTAGTGAATTGCTCACTTGCTTTATGGATGTGGTTAGGAATATGCAGATTTGCAAATGGGGCCATGTCATATCCATTTTCACAGTGCCAGCATCCTTAAGACTCTGGATACTGATGAACCAAAAATTTGGAAGTTACATTGTAGTCTAGAGATACAGTGCAAGTTAATTAAACTTTGCTTCTACTAAGTGATACTATGAATAAATATATTTCTATAGACTGTGGATAGCCTACATTCCTCATAGTTTTGTAACGTGGAATAATCTTTAGAGATAAACATACTTCAGGTCTGCATTTAGCGTAGTTGGATTGCTGTGTAGTACCTTAGTACCATTATATATTACCCCATCGACCTGAAAGCATTAATTGACCTCTAAAAAGTGGATAATTTTGGAAGTACCTTATTAATCTACAAATTCTACTTTCTTCAAATTTTATGTGGATTAATCTAACCCTATCCAACAAACATTTATTAAGTGCCTCTTCTTTGCTGAGTGCTGATGAAATAATCTATTATTTAAATATCAAGCTTTGAAAACCATAGTTTATAAATTGTTTAAAAGTTTAGAATATTAGCAGAATCAACTTCTCTAATATGAGAGAAATACAAATTAATGCAACTTTAAAATACTAACTTACAACTAGCACTATGGCAAAAATAATTGAAAATGCAATGTTGGTGGGTTATAGGGAGACAGGCACTCTGCTACATTGTTGATGGGACTGTTAGATTGGTGTAGTTTTTTGGAAGGAGCAATTTGGCAAAATATAGAGCCGCAAAAGTGATCTTTGAGACAACTGGTCCTCAGCATTCCATTCCTGAGACATATCCTAAAGATGCCATTAAAAGAAAAAATAATCTATCTGTACAAAAAAAATATTTGTAGATGGTCTATTTGTAATCATATATATGCAAGAAATGGAGAATGTCTAAGTAAATCATGCAATGTTCATGCAGCTGAGCATTATTGTGCTATAAAAATAAGTTTGAAGAATAAAAAGAAATGGAAATATTTGTATGAAGTGATGCAAAGCAAGGTCAACACAATAAGAACAACATACACATTGATATCATCTAAAAACAATAAAGACAACAACTTTAAGTATACAAATAGATTGAGAAGGGGCTATAGAAAAATACATTATTGTTTTTTTAATTATGTTTTTTCAGTGAAAAATGTATATAGTTTTGACTTTAAGGCTTCAAATGATTTGTTTGTATTTGTTAAGTTTATAATAAAATTTTTTTTAAAGAAACATCATTTTAAATGGCTAGTTTTATTTAGTTTCTTTCATGACTACTTTGGGTTTTGAATGCAGGCGCAGAATTCGGATTTGTTGTGATGAATTGAATCTTCTAGTTCCATTCTGCAATGCTGAGACTGATAAGGCAACAACTTTACAGTGGACAACAGCATTCCTGAAATATATTCAGGAAAGACATGGAGATTCTCTGAAGAAGGTTAGTAATTAGGCCAAAGTAAGTTTTCATAATTTCACTCTAAAAGCCCACAAATCATTAAAAGTGCTTGGCCTTCTTTATATTACCAATTATTTTCAAATTGGGGTCTTTTATTATTTTCTGAAATATTGCCATCAGGATATTAGCTATAATGTCAGGGAATAGATACACATTAATAATGTTGTTACTTAACATTTACTAAAAGCGGAGAACTGTAGCTAGCTAACAATATGTAGCTAACAATACATCAAATTTACAAATACAAATTTGCAATATGTTATCAGAGTTAATTGGTTATTAAAAACTACAAATTTTTGAATGCCTCCTATGTGTAAGCTACTGTTAGGTGCTCAGGAGATGATACAGAAAAATAAGTCAGGACATTGCCCTAAGAGAGTTTGAAACCTAAATGGATGTGAGACGTATATACATAGAAAAAATTAACAAAAGACGGTGATAATTGTTAAGTATCATATAATTGTTAAATATCAAAATAGTACCGACAGTAAATTTTCCATGGGGGATCTCTTTTAGAGTAATCTGGAAAGGCTTCAATGAAGTATGAGTCACAAATGTACATATTAAATGTGCTTTAGTTGTAGCATTTATTATGTAGTTGGTATTTCACTTACTACTGAATTTGGATCCTCAAAAATGATGTTTGAATGCTAAAATTTGTATTTGGCAGTCTTGTCAACTCCTTTGTGTTTTATACTAAATTTATTTTTGCTGAAGTGGTTTTATTTCGACTGTGCCATGTTTTGTGATGGTTATGTTTGCTGTAGATTTTGATTATTTGCTTCTGCTACTCTGAGGGTATGGTTGTCAGTCATACTAAGAATGATGGGCCCTGGCAGACCACACCTATAGGACAGCGATTTGTAAAATAGAATACAAACTTATTACTTTACATTGAAGGAAATACGTGTTTAATCTACTAATTATTACTGGACAATGTACCCCACTTTCGCATAGGAATTTGATTTGGTAACTAAAATTAGACATTTATTTACCAAATACGAAATTGAAAGTATTAAAGATACGTCTAATATGGTAAAGCCTGATAGATCCCCCTCTCCCATTACAGGGCCTATACTTGTTCAGGCTACAGAGAAACCACCGACAGATAGGGCATCCCTCTCTCGGACAGTGCTTGCTTGGGGTGAAACCAACAGTTTGTTTCTTCTTCATCTTCCTTTTTATGTTGTCCATATTACTATACAAATCTCATGAATCACACCATTTCATCCATTTCCTGGTTTTCATCTTTATAGTTGACACTCTTAACCATATTATGTATTAGTTGTGTCGGATTTATGTCTATGTAAAGTGTTATACTAGTTTATAATGTGTCTTATGCTGTAGCGTATTGATTTATGTTTATTTTTAATTAAGTGAAGTTTTTAATCCTTTTGAAACTTTTATTGGTTTAATAAACATTTTAGTGTTCAGTTTTGCAAATCTACCAGATGTCCTTAATACCTATGTAAGGGATATGTAATTCTTGCCTGCTTTTAATAGAAATGAGAACGAGGTCATTACTGGTATTATAATTTGGTAATATGTATAATGCTTGCCAAACATCTGAAATTGGACACATACATCCACCTCTTCGTAGCTTGTTTAAGAAAATAGTTTTATTTTTGCCTCTTTTTTTTTTACCAGTTGTTTCTATATTCTCCTTCCACTGAACCTTTCCTTTTTAAAAGAAAACAGTTAAACAATATCAACTGACACAGCAATAGCATTTCACAACATATACCACATTATTTATCTATATTCCCTACCTCTCCACTGAAAAGGAAATCGCATTTCCTTATCAGTTTTCTTTGTCCCAGATTATTCATTACAGTTCATCATAGATTAAGTACTTTTTAGTGCTCTTTACATTATTGTAGTCATTGTATATATTATCCTCTTGGTTTTTCACTGTATCACTTTATATAATGCTTACCATATTTCTCATACTTAAGTTTCTCATACTTGTTCCTTACTCTTATTCCATTACATTCATATACTACAGTATAGGCATCTGTTCCCAATTAACGGGCAACCATTTTGCGTTCAGTTTTTTGCTACTAAATTATGCTGTCAGGAATATTTTGTTTTATATTATAGGACCTTTTTTTTGTCATCAACTTCCTTAGAGTATGCTCAGTAGAGTGATCACTTGTTCAAAGGTTTAAACAGTTTCCTTAGAGTGTGTTCAGTAAGGGGATCACTTGGTCAAAGGCTTAAACAATTTAGTGACTTTGCTTTCATTAATTCTAAATTAATTTGCAGAAAGAATTTTTTTTTGGTGAGGCAGTTGGGGTTAAGTGACTTGCCCAGTTACACAGCTAGTGAGTGTTATGTGTCTGATGCCGGATTTGAACTCAGGTCCTGACTCCGGGGCCGGTGCTGTATCTACTACACCACTTAGCTACCCCTGCAGAAAGATTTTAACAAATTCTTAGCTCTGCCAATAATATATTAGTAAATCTCTTCAATATTGACTATTTCTGTTTTTTTTTATCATTTTTGCTAATTTGGTAGATATAAGCTTTAAGTTTACATTTTCCCCCCTTTCAGTTAGTGATATGAAACAGTCTTTCATATGGTTTTTGCCATTTGCATTTCTTCTGAACACTGTTCATATCTTTTATCTACCTTTCTATTAGAATCCTCATATTATTGCTTCTAGGTAAAATTATCTCTAAATGTGACCAGCAAAAGTGATTAGCCAGTTAGTGATGGTTCTTTAGGAATTAAAACAAATAAAAATACATGTGTCTTTGGTCACAGTCTTAATGATCATTCCATCCCACCACTCCCCCATGGAATTCAAAGGGATTTGCATGAATTAAGATGAGGAAATGTCATATGACCAAAGATCATATTTGACCCAATTCTCATAATTATTCAAAGTATTACCAACAACTGAGGTTAAAATTCTAAATAGACTCAGAAGCTAGAAACTAAGAATAATAATGGGATTCTTATAATACTTCAGCCTAACTGTATAATTCTGGAAAGAACCCTTAATTCTATAGTTTAGTTTCTTTAATAAGATAAAGATGGCTTAGTATATCTGTCTCCTACATATGAAATAAGGTATTATAAAAATAGGGATAAATATTCTGCATTTACATTTTCTACTATATAGATATGTATGGGCATGGTGACAGACTTTGTATGTATTGTCTGAGGACCATACCGGCTAAATTTGTAGAGGTTCATCACCAGAAGGTGGACCACCAGGTATGATTTTCTTTGACCACACATGAAATTGTCTACTGAAGCATGGAGAGGTTTCATTTTGTTATCAATGAAAAGAGTACTTACTCCATTGATGAAATAACATGCCATTTATACTACTAAGTCATAGATATGTATTATTCCTGTTTACATGTATGAAGAACACTGCATTAATGTCATATCAGACATTGATCATCAGGTTTAGTCTAAATAAGAAATCCCATCTAATATGTGAGCCATTTAATTGACAAAGTTAGTCAGAATAAAAGCATAATTATAAAAATAAAGGTATGTTTATACTTCAAGTGAGTGATTTATGGTAGTTTGGTTTACAGTGAACATTAGCACATTAGGGCAAATACACTTTGTTAACATGGGATTGTTTGTGAGCCATAGCTAATCTGTTTACTAGTTCTTTGTATTGATAAGTATAAGGTAATAATATTTGCCTACTTGGAGTCTCATAATTACAAAATGTGAATATCAGCTTTGGTCACATGGCATCTTTCTTAAAGAATGAAAATAAGTTATAAAAAATCCTTCCATTAATTGTATTTTTGTGCATATAAGCTTACACTTACTAGTGAAAGAGAAAGAGGGAAATTAAATGGGGAAAACATTAGTAAACATCTATAGCCATATGCTTGGTTCATACTGTTGGTTAGGGTTTATGAGATCTGTTGGCTTTACTCTGGCCTACACTCCCTAATCTGTATTGTAAAAATGCGTGACTTTTTCCATCATGGTGGGTTGGGGTGGGGTACAATGCAGTACAAGTATGCATAGATTTGCTACTCATCATCACCACTAAAAAAACATTTTGAGGTGCATGCTTTATTGAGAGTAGATCAATAACAGCTTTTTCATTTATTTCATTCATTTCATCCAAGTTTCATTTTTCATTTCATTTCATAGTACTTTTTCATATTTAGAAGAAATTACCACTTCCCTTTATCTGATATTTTCATTTAATACTAAGCACTGTACTGTCTTTCCAGAATATACATCTGTAGACCAGGTTTAGTGGTCCATTTATGTGTTTTGGTCTCCTGTTTTTTTTTTTTTAGTTGTTGTTGTTTGTTTGTTTTTAAGTACTTGTCAAGAAGTTCAAATAAGGTAAAAGCACCTTACCATTTTAGAATTTTAATACTAAGACAAAATATTTGGGATACCATCTGTCTAGTCTAACCTTCATATTTCACAGATGGGTAAATTAAGACTCATCCAAACTAAGGACTTATCCAAGGGCCAAATGGCTTATTAATGATGGAGCAGAGACTTGAACCCAAGTCTTCTGATTCTCAGTCCAGGATTCTTTCATATTATCTCCTTGCAAATTCTCCCACACTTTTCCCAGCAATGGTTAGTTTTGCTCATTAGCTGCCATTTCAACTTTCTGACACATGCCATTTTACATGAAGGAATAGTTCTAGTACCTTGTCTTAGGAGGTAAAGTGTGAAACAATATGCCTCATCTTGAATTTCAGAAAGCTTCTGAAGCACTTTATATCAAGAGAAAAATGTAAAAAGAGTTCATACTTGGAGTTTAAGATGTAATAAATATGTTTGGGGATGGTAGTTTTTTGAAAGAAGATGGATTTTAAAAATAAAAAGTGCCTTCCAAAATACAGAATGGTGGTACATAAAATCCATGTTAATTGTATTAACTAAGAATTTTGTACCAGTATTTAACAGTGCTACTATAGTCCTGTCTGTCAGTGTTATTAAGTAATTATGGTAATTGCATAGTTTAGTAGTAATGTGATACTTTTCCTAAAAATCAGTAATGAATAAATAGAAAAACTCCTATGCTTTTAAAAATATAAATTACTTTTTCTGAATAGACAAAATGGCTTTAATTTTTTATTCATTCTAAGATTTGAACTAAAAACTAATCATAGTTTGAGAATTATAATTTACTTCTCATTTATGTGAGCATTTATTTGAAAAACTGTTTAATAAGCTCTGTTAACAGAGAATTTCATGTGTAATTTATATTAATATTAAAATGACATTTTGTAAACAGCCTAAATGTTCACACTATTATTAATTTGAAGTTTAGTGGTTTTATATCTGAATGCTACTTGCATAAATTCAATATATTAAATTAATTATCATTTCTTGACTTTAGGAATTTGAAAGTGTATTTTGTGGTAAAACGGGCAGAAGGCTAAAGCTGACCAGACCAGACTCATTAGTAACATGTCCAGTGCAGGAAAATCTACAGAATAGCCCCGCCATGGAGATCAAGTAGTTTGGACTGAATACTTAGTATTTTTACTAAATATATGGCTATCCAGGGATGATCCATGTCTATTTCTACAATTCTGGAATTCTGCTCTGATGGTCTAATTTTATATTGACAACATTTGTTAATGGGATTCCAGTAGTAGTGACGTACTGGCAAAATACGTTTTGTAAAAATACATACCTAGAACATTAAATATTTGTTCATCAGTGTCCTCTTAGACCTTTGGGGGACCAGCAGCAACAAGAAAGCATCTTGACAATAATTAGTAAGTAATTCTTCAATTATCAATGAAATCCATCATGTTTTTCTAACATGATATGTTATAAAAATATCTGAACAATCTATTTGATTTGTGTTCATCCTTATTATAAGGTACATTGCTTTTATTTTATTTATATTTCAAATATGCCCACTTAGCAATTGGAACAAAGTTAAATTGTTCTCGACAATAAGTAGTTTGGAAATGATACTGTATTTGAGTTAATTTGCCAATTATCTATCCCCCTTGGAATTACATTTTCAGTCATACAGTACTGTTTGTTTGCATTGTTTGCAAAATACAGTACCATTTTAAACTATTTTACCACAAGCTTTCCAAAAGTTTCTTTTAAAGCTGCTTTTGCCCATAAATGGTATACTGTAAACAATGAATTACTTATATGCACAGAATATTTTCATATTGAGAGTAATTGCTCTATGTGATAATAAACTACAGTGTTTTGAACTAAAATACTTTCAGATTTGAGTGGCTTTATTTATTACAACAGATGACACCAACAGGCTTTAAAGTACATACAAAGTCACCTAAAATAAATACTGTAAAATCACAGATATTCACAAATTTGTAGCAATGTATTTTCAGACAAAAATAAGTGTTAAAGAGGTAAATCTGTCTAGAACTTTGTGTGTATAAGACATCACAAAAATTTTTTTAAATTTCCTTTTATTTTTTAATAGTACTGTGTCACCAGCTTAATATTACTGGATACAATGAGCTTCCTTTTTTTACTGGGATTCCATCATAATCTTTGGCTATGTGCACAGTATTTGTGAAAAAGTGAAGTTTGGTATGAACATGTTGCTAAATATCCTTTGTCATCTTACGGAAATATACAAAAATTCTCCCCTGAAAATTTTATTTACATACATTAAACCCCCTTAGAAGTGTTTTAGATTTATTGCTTATGGCAAGTTGAGGTATGAAATCAAGTTTAATTCTTGTATACAAATAGACAATTATATGTAGGGAGAAAAGATACTAAAAAGAATAGACCCCTTCTGCAAGTAGGAGGAGGGTTTTGTTGTCATTAAAAGGTATTGAAGGGAATAGGTTAAGCTTTTTTTTTCTTTTTAAGAAGGGCCATATGTAAGGTATTGAAAATGCTTTCCTCATAGTGTTTCATTGAGCTGAATTATCATGTACAACTTGGAGCTCATTAAAATTAATAAGGGAGTACTGTCTATCTGTGGAACAATTTGTCTTTTCATAATTCAATGTTTACTCAAATATTCAGTACTGGTCCATTTCCTTAAGTTACATTTATGAGCTTCTAGGGCCAGATTTTTCCCCTCCTCCTCCTATAACAGCTCCTTGACAGGCTGAGGTATCACAAATCCCTGGAGTTCCCTGAGCACCAATTGCACCAGGAATGCCAGGATCACCTGGAAACCCAGGTTCACCATGGGCACCATCTCGACCATCTTTACTAGTTCCAGGGACGCCTTGAGGTCCTTAAGAAAGATTGCAAGGAGAAAAAGTTAGGTAGAGTTTGGATACAGTTCTTACATTATCATTTCAGTAGTGCTTAACTTTTTTTTTTTTAAACATTGCTCAGTAAGTGGTTATTTTATTCCTGCTGTCGAGCCTTTTTATTTACCCTTTGCCTTGCTCACATCTTATTCGGAACTGGCTGCAACCACTCCATAGATAAAAGACATGTTTACTCATTAAAATTTAAGTGCCAATTCAGATTCTAGGGTCAGTAGAGAGATTCCCAGGTTTGAAGGAGAAGTTCTTTGGTAAGGAACTATGCAGTTAAATAATTGTTTCATAGTGTTAAAAATGCTTTCGTAGTATTTCATAAAAATGTTTCATAGTATTAAAATCTAATAAAAATTGTTTATTTTTATCAAACTTTTCAAACATCAAAGGAGTTAAGATTTTAATCTAGGAATCATTTTATTTTTGCCTTGAAGAATTCTACCTATGCTTTGGCGAAGACAATATTTTCCTCATAAATAACTACATTTCAAACAAATGTTTCATTTAAATATTCTGGCAAGAAACTGGAATACTGACAATAAAGCAATGTAGCCTGTATAAAGATGCAGTGTTGTCATACCTTGAGGTCCTTGGTCTCCATCAGGCCCATCAATGCCTACACCAGTAGCTCCTTTGTCTCCTCTGTCACCCTGATTACCTGTATGGAGGTGTTGTGACAAAAAAATGATTTAAAATAATTCAACAAGATCTCAATAAATTTTAAATTTTCCACTGTACAGTATTATAATGCCAATTATAGTTACAAATGTTTAATACTACCGCAGAGTGTTTGTTTTTACAGTGCATCCAGTTTTAATAGCATTTTATATTTGCTGTTACTCAAAAGTCCTCCTCTGATGCCTCATTATGGTGTGGAGGTGACCCTGGGTTCTCTAAGACTATGCCAGTGAAGCATAAGCTCTGGCTGGAAAAGCATAGAATAGGGGACCAGGCTACCTAAGTTCAGAGAGGCTCATCACAAGAAGTTTGACCACCAGGTAATGATTTTTTTCTGATCTAAGCAACTCATGAAGATGTCTACTTTGGCATAGAGGGGCTATGATCTGTGTTAGTAAAGGAATACCCTCTCTGATGAAATCACAGATCTCTTAAAGTATTTAAATATTTAAATAGTATTGCAGACAACTTCACTTAGAGGAATAATTGTGGAATCCTACAAAATGAGATATTTGTTTAGAGTGATTTTAAGACATTTATTCCTATTCAGTGCTAGGGACCTGTTAATGGCACCTAATTGAAAATTCAGTGAAATGAGCAATATTATAAGTGACCCACTGCTGTAAAAAGAGAGAGTGAGAAATAAAAAGCTCTTTGGTCTTTGTGGTGGTGTTTTTGGGTGGTTTTTGCGTATTCTATGTCTAGAAGAAAGATGGAAGAATATACAAGTGAGGTAAAATCTGAAGCCCAGAGAACAAAAAGGCACTGAGACTTCACCAGAGGGTTTTGGGATAGCCCCTCAATTACCTTAGCATTGTGATTCAATCCACACATTTATTGTGGTTCCTGGCATTGTACTATAATAGCAGCTGTAATAGCTATTATTTATAGAGCACTTATCATGCTCCATAAATGCTATATGTGCGAGATGCTATACAATAATCTCATTTGGTCCTTATAACATCCCTGGGAGGTAGATGTTATTATTATCCCCATTTTACAGATGAGGAAACTGAGATAAACAGAGCTTAAGTGACTTGCCCAGGGTCACACAGGTAGTAAATGTCTGTGGTAAAACTTAAACTCAGGTCTTCCTGACTCCATGCCCAGTGATTTATCCACTGTGAATACAAAGGGGAAAAAATAACTGTTCCTGCCCTCAAGGAACTTACATTTTAGTGAGGAGAAAGTATACATACATACATACATACATACATATGCATACATAGTACAGAATAGATGGAAGGTACCTCATAGGGGAAGGCAGTAGCATCTGGAAGGGCTGAGAAAGGAGTCTTGGAGGAGAAAGCACTTGCATTGAGTCTTAAAGGGAGCCAGATTCTAAGAATCTGAGGTTAGGAGGTAGAATATTCTCCGTGGGGACAGGTAGTGCAAAGGCACAGAGATGGAAAACAGAGCTTTGTGCTTAATGAACAGAAAGTAGCCCAGTGTGGCTGGACCATAGAGTGTGTGGAGTAGTAATATGTTAAAAGACTGGAAAAATAGAGATCAGGTTGTAAAGAAATTTAAATGCCAAACAAAAGTTTATACAGGGTGTCCCGAAAATCTTAGTTCCTGTTTTAAGTATTAATAGCTTTATTAATTTTTAATAAGCTTTAGTAGCTTAACACTGCACAAAATTTTAGGACACCTTATATTTAATCCTAGAGGCGAGGGGACAGGGAGAGGAGAGGGACAGGCACCACAAGAGTGTTAGTGAGGTGGGCAGGGGGAGGGTCATATTGGTGAAACCTACACTTTAGAAAAATAATTTTGGCAGCTGCATGGAGAATGGAAGGGAGTGAGGGGAGAGATAAAGCAGGGCATTCAATTTAGAAAACTATTTTAGTAGTCTAGGCAAAAGGTAGTAATGCCTAAGTTAAGGTAGTGACTGTTGGTGGAAAGAAGGTGACATTTGCAAGAGATGTAGAGAAAGAAGCTACTGAACTTGGCAACAGAGGGGATATGTAAAATGTGAAGGAGAAAAGAGTCAAGGATAACACTGAGGTTGTGAACCTGGGTGACTGAGAGGATGGAAGTACCCTTAATAGTAATAGGGAAGTTTGGAAGAGGGGTAGGTTTTGGGGAAAAGATGAGTTCTATTTTGGAAATGTTGGGTTTGAGATACTTAGGGGACATCCGGTTCTAAATGCCCGATTTGGCATTTGGTGATGTGGGTCTGTAGCTCAGGAGAGAAACTAGGACTGGATAAATAGATCTAGGAATCATCTCCATGAATCACCATTGAACCCATAGGATCTGATGAGATCATCAAGTGAAAGCATTATGGAAAGAGAATAATCTAAGATGGTCTTAAAGGACAGCCACAGTGACATAAATGAAAATCCAACAAAAAGATACTGCAAAAGAATAGTCAGATGTGGAGAACCAAGAAAACAGAATCTTAAAAACCAAGAGAGGAAAGAGTGTCAAATGCTGCAGAGTTCAAAAAGGAACAGGATTAAGAAAAAGTCATTAAGAGATCAGTGGTGATCCCTAGGGGGAAGAATTTCAGTAGAAAGCTGAGGTCAGGAGACATTGCAGAGGGTTGGGAATAGGGTGAAAAGAGAGGACATGGAGGTACTGAGTACAGATAGGTTCCCAGACTTTAGCTGAAAAGAAGAGAAACGATGTAGGGTAATATCTAGCAGGCATGGTAGGATCTACTGAAGGGGTTTTTTAAGGATGGAGGAGACAGGCACATTTGTAGACAGCAGAGGAGAACCAGTAGTTGGGGAAGGACTGAAGGACTAAGAGTGGGAATTATGGTCGGGGCAATCTGCCAGAGAAGATGGAAAGGGATGGGAGCAGGGGTACACGTAGAGGAGTTAGCTCTAGCAAGTAGAAGGGCACCTGATCATAGATCAGATTGAAGGAGGAGATAGTAAGGGATGATGTCAGAGGGATATGGGAGGACAAAAGAAAATAATCCATGTCCCCAAGGATTTATATGCTACTGGATCGTACATAACACCCAACACTGAGAACCATTAAAGATTAATGTTATCTTTCACCTGTACTTTTGAAAACCTTGCTGGAATAGTGATAGACAGTTATCACTTAAGGCATCCTACTAAGCCAAGGGTTCTTAATCTCTTTTGTGTCTTAGACCTCTTTGGCAGTCTGGCGAAGTCTCTGGCCCCTTTTCTTCGAATATGTCATAACATAGCATGACATAAAATACATAGGATTACAGAGGAAGCCATCTCATATCGCTAACATGCCGTCACTGAAATGTCTTCTGCCACTTTCTCCTCCACCCTTCTCACATGAAGATGTGACTCTTCTCCTTACCAAGGCAAACCCCTTTACATACTCAAGTGACCCCATACTATCCTGTGGTATCTAATAGATTGCTTCCTCTATAATCCCCACTCATTTATCATCAATCCTGTCTACTGGCTTCTTACTTACTGCCCACAAACATGCCTACATTTCCCTCATCCTCAAAAAAAGACCTTCACTTGATTCCTCCTTCTCTGCTAGCTGTCATCCTGTATCTTTTCTCCCTTTTATGGCTAAACTCCTTGAGAAGACTGTCTACAGTATGTATTCACTTCCCTCTCACTTTCTTCTCAACTCTCTGCATTCTGGCTTCCACCCTCATTATCCTATTGAAATTGCTCTCTCCAAAGATACCAACAATCTTTTAGTTTCTGCATCTAATGCTTTTTTTTTCTTAATACTTATCCTTCTTGATCTCTGCTTTCTTTGATGCTGTCAATCACCCTCTTCTCCTTGATACTCTTTTCTCTCTAGTTTTTGTGATATTGCTCTCCCCGGGTTTTCTACCTAATGGTTAAGCTATCATAGCTTGAGACTGCTATGGAAGTGATTGTTGATAAATCAAAATAAATTAATTAAAAAAACTGCACCAAGATTTTTGAGATACCCTGTAGAATTTCACTTGTTGATTTCTTCAACTTCTATGGATTCAAATATCTCTGCAGATGATTCTCAGATTTATTTATCAAGCCCTAAACTTTCTGCTGACCTTCAATCTCACATCTTTAATCACCTATTGGACATCTCTAACTAGATATCTTGTAGACATCTTTAAGCTCAACATGTCCAAAACTGAACTTACTATCTTTCCCCCCAAACCCTCTCCTCCTCCATCCTTCCAGTCACCAAGCTCAAAACTTAGATGTCATTCTCTCTCTCTTTCTCATCCCCCATACTCAATCAATTGCCAAGTCTTGCCATTTCTACCTTTGTAATATCTCTGTACACCCACTTCTCCATTCCCACTGATACCATCCTGGTGCAGGCCCTCATCACTTCATACCTGGACTACTGCAGTAGTCTGCTGGTGGGTCTTCTTGCCTCAAGTCTCTCTACTTCAGTCCATTCTCCACTCAGCTATCAAAATTTATCTTCCTAAAGCACAAGTCTAGCCATACCATTGTCCTCCCCACATCCATTCAATAACACTAGTGGCTTCCTGTTGCTTCAAGAATCAAATGTAAAATCCTCAGTTTGGCTTATAAAGCTTTCTATAACTGGCTCATTCCTGCCTTTCTAGTCTTCTTACACCTTAACACCCCTTACATACTCTGTGATTCAATGACAGTAGCCTCGAACACAAAATTCCATCTCTTCACTGTACATTTTCACTGGCTGTCCCCTATGCTTGGAACTCTTTTCATCTTCTTTTCTAACTCCTAGCTTCCCTGGCTTCCTTCAAGTCTCAACTAAAGTTACACCTACAAGAAGCCTTTCCTGATCCTTCTTAATACTAGTGCCTTCCTTTTGTTGATTATCCCAATTTATAATATACATATATACATATGTGTGTATATATAATATATACATGGTTGTTTGTGTGTTGTTTCTCCCATTAGACTGTAGGTTCCTTGAATGCATAAGCCATCTTTTGCCTTTGTACCCCAGCACTTAGCATTGTGTCTGCTATGTACCAGGCACTTAATATATACTAGTTGACTAAATTATATCAAAATCTTTAGGCTGATAATTGTAATATGCATATGATTCAGAAACTTTGTCAAAATACTCAATAATAAAAACAAAGAAGCTGGACTGCATATGATTGACAAAATGAATTGCTTAATATTGTTTGTCCCCTAGTGTTGGCATTCCTAAATCACTAAAAGGAAATTCTAAAATAATTTTTAAATATACTATAATATTAAATTATTTTTTAAAAAATGTTTAATGTGAAAAACTGAAAAAATGTGAGGGAAATTTTTTGGAAAGTAATTCTGTATTTTCTAATCCCAAAAATTTATGCCTTTGAAAAAATTAACATAAATACATTTCCATAATAAATCAGAGTTATACTGCATAGAGCCATGTTTTTAAATGAAAAGGTCCTTTTAATTAACTGTGAGTTTAGTTTATGTATACAACTGACTTTGCAGTGATAAAATGAGGTAAATTTTAAAGACCATTTTAAAATGGGGAATTAAAAAATTCAAATAGTTTGGGGCAGCTAGGTTGCACAGTGGATAGAGCACTGGCCCTACAGTCAGGAGAACATGAGTTCAAATCCAGCTTCAGACACTTGACACTAGCTGTGTGACCCTGGGCAAGTCACTTAATCCCAATTGCCACACCAAAAAAAATTCCAGTAGTTCAAATTATATTGCATTGTTATATTTTCCCTGTGTTAAGATCTCCAATATTCTGAGTTCTGCTAAGAAAAAGCCGCCCCAAATCATATTCTTTGGATTACACATCAGTGGTAGTGTTCAGTGTTAGTTTTCTTTCCTACTCTGGACTTATGTTAAAAACAACAACAACAAGAAGAACAACAAAGTACCTCCACCAAGACCTGAGTTTAAATGCCACGTCAGATATTTACTAGATGTGTAAATCTGGGCAAGTCACTTAACTTCTGTCTGCTTCAGTTTCCTCAACTGTAAAATAAGAATAATTATAGCACCCACTTCCCAGGGTTGGTGTAAAGATCAAATAAGATAATATTTGTAAAGCACTTAGCACAGTGCTTGGCACCCAATAGGATCTATATAAATGCTAGCTATTATTATTACTGTATATATGTACATACATATATATTCTAATTTCATGTTTTGTTTGTTTGAATTAAAATTTCCTTAATTCATCACAATCCTTAGTGTGTGTTAGGAAATTCAATATCATTTCTAAATGCAGTTTATATGTGAATTTCCTAGTCTTATTTTATCTGGCAAGGACCTAGGTTTATTCAATATTCAATGTATTGATAGTTGTAACTAAGATATAAACTAATCAGTGATTGACCTTCAAAATAGGGATAGGGTGTGGGACTGTGATTGTGCCAGTGTAGGGAATTCTTGAAGAGGAAATTCCCTCTATGAATGCAGATTGGCATCTTCTCTTCATGTCTTAGCTACTTAACTAGAACACTGAGAAGTTAAGTGACAGATAGTATGTGTCACAGCCGGGACCAAAACCCATGATTTCCTGGCTTTGAAACTGTCTCTCTACCCACGCTGTGCCATGATGCTTCTGGTCTCCAAAACAGGAATTCATGTCAAGATTCTTCAAAATATCTTTATTCTTCCCTATTTTGTGGAACTTTGTCCTTGTTTTATTGATTGATTCATCTTTTATGTTTTTCCCCATGTAATTTCCCCACAAAATATTCTGATGTGGTTTTGCAATTATTTAATTTCCCCCCAGTGCTTAAGATGCTGTAAAATTTGTTGTATTTAGGGGAAATAGAAAAGAATGTAAGACATGGTCTCTTCCCTCAGGGAATTTATAAACTAGATGACATGTTTCTCTCATTTTATGTACGTGTTAAATTAGTTCTATAAGTACTTGAGCTAACCATTGAAAGAAGTAGGTTAGCAGAGAAGAATGAAGAAGGCACTTCAGGCAGGGGAGCCTTCTGAGTAAAGGTCTGAAATCAGGCACATGGTTGTTTTGGTTTGACTAGAATTATTCCAAACCATTAATTTACAAGAAATCATGATTTCTTCCTCCATGTTTTTCATCACTTCTAACAAACTTTTGGTTCCCTTGTTTATGGATTATTCAGACCCCTAATCTCCCTTTTGGGCCTCTTTTGTTTTTTAGTACCTCTACCTGAGAATATCTAGGGTCCAGGAAGTGAGTGAAATTAAATATAGAGCAATCCAACAATTTAGTGCAATTCTGATTCAGGGGAACAGTTAAAATTGGGAGGGTCCACAATGGGATTCACAGTATCAGCAGAGCTACAACTCACCTCTGGGACCTGGATCTCCTAGTTCTCCAGTTGGACCTCGATACCCAGGTGGCCCACGAGCCCCAGGATGGCCAATAGATCCTGTTGGACCTGGAGGACCTGGGGGACCAGCTGGACCAGGTCGGCCAATTGATCCAGGAGTTAGAGGCTTCCTTAAGTTAGCAGCTAACTGTGCAATTTGTTCTTTTTTTGGGGGGGTGGGAAGAGCAGAAAAATGTCAACTTTTGTTATGTACACCATATGGAAGAGAATTCATGATGTATTACCACAGATATTTTTAGAAAAACCATAAATACCTTGTCCAGAGCCAGAATCAGTGTTATATTAAGAAATTATTCCTTTAAAGAAGGAAATGTTTTATGCTCTTTCTTTGAATCACACAGCCAAGATTAGTATCCTTTTATGAATAGCATGAACACCTTTCAATAGAATTAGTGACAGGGCTAAAAAAGACTTTCACTGGTTGTCTAATTCATCATCAGCTAAATTATGTCAGCTCCACACATGATATAGTATCGTCTTGAACAATTCATTTAAATTCAATTAAGACAAGCTTTGGGAGCTAGAGCAGAGATACACAAGTGAAACTAATTTTCTACTGTTTCTTTTACATCAGGACCTGAGTATTTTCTGAGGTCTCCCATTGAAACACTGTAACTAGTTACCGTCCCCACAGCCACATCCCCTGCCTCGGGTCCAAGCACTATGGTAAAAATAGCAATCATGATGGTGGTGGTGGTGATACCACTATCACTACCACCTTACCTTTGTTTAACGGTTTACAGTTTTCAAAGCACTCGCCATGTACATTATCTTACTTAATAAATACAATACCCCAAGGTAAGAAGGAGCAAGGCAGTAGTTGTTCCCCACCTTCCCCTACCCTTCTTCCATCTCTGTCTCCACCAATAGTACTAACAGAGTTACCTTCCCTTCACTCCTCTCAGTTACCAGCTTCTACATGAGCAGAAGCAGGAGGATGGGGAGTGAGGTTTTCCTGATACTCAATTATTCTGCATTTCATTAAATAGGTGAAAAGAAGTGTAGATTGAAATCTGTACTTTATATAATTGTTCAGATTCTGGTACTCACCATTAATCATTCCTCCACACAGTTCCCTTATATGTTGTTCGCTGGCTTCTTTACCCTGAAATCACCAATTTTTTTTAAAGCAAATAAGATCACAGATAATCTTTTTGGTACCGGTGCACAATTCAACTGGATCTATAACCTTTGGTCCTTACAAAGGACCAATATCCCCCTCGTGTGTGTGTAGGGGGATGTTTAATCCTATTCCTCACAGGTCCAGGCCCCGATCCCCACCCCTCATCTATAACGTCAGTGAACATTCAGATCCCAATATGTATCTATTTTAAGAAAGATCAAAAAGAACACTTACAGGAACCCCAGGTTTTCCAGTAATTCCAGGGACACCTTGTACTCCTTGGAAGCCTGCTGGACCAGGATGGCCAGGGAGTCCTTGGACACCAGTGGTACCATTAGGACCCTGAATACCTTTAGGGCCCAGCTCACCTCTACTACCTGACTAAAAAAAAAAGGGGAGGACAACAAAAACCCAAAGGGGGGGATCAGAATTAGAATATGTAAACTATTTCTTAATGTTTGCATGCCTGTTTATAATACTCCTTTGCAGGCTTAATGCTTTTCTGAGTATCAGACAAAAGCTTAGAAAATGTCTTTCATATCAATCACTCATAGGAATTTATAAATGCTTTACAGCTAATGCCCATAAAGCATGCTTACTAATTATCAGCAATTATTCTCATCATGGATGCTGACAACTGTTTGCTGAGCACATACCATGAGCACATTCTGAGTCTCAGACACTTTTTTTGTATTTTAATTTTTAAAAATTATTTTTAGTTCGAAATTCTCTCCCTCCCTCCATTCTTTCTCTTGAGAGGGCAAGAAATATGACACCCATTATGCATACGAAGATAGGACAAAGTTAAGAGCAGTCACTGGTTTAATCCCAATCACTCCTATTTCCCTAAATAATTTCACATCTTGGCTTTATTTATTCTGGATTCATTTATATTCAAGCAGTCATTTAACTCCTCCATTTGGAAATCAATAAACCATAAGTTTCTATCCACAGAAGAATTAAGCAAAAGGCAGGTAGCTGGTTAAGTGCGATCTCTCCCTCCTCCCAGAACTACTCTTTAAAGAAAGAAAAAAGAACTGTCATAAAATTCAGGAGATGATAGAATCCTTGGAGATGGTCCTTATATAATCAAATCAGAAGTTCCCCAGAGACGTGATAAACATATGTATTCTGAAACTTTCCAAGTTCAAATCTTTGACAATCACTTACCTCTCCTTTTTGTCCAACAGGACCGTTAGGACCCTGGGGAAATAAAAAAAAAGGAGGGTGGAGATTAAGAAAGGAGAGGAGTTAATGTTTAAAAGGTTGCTTTTTTTTTTTTTTAAAGCTAAAAGTCACCAATGTGCCAGTTTAGTAGAAGCACATGAACCTAGTTATGGGCATATTGTCTTTTAAAAAACTACATTTAATTGATGCTTTTGCCTATATATTCCCATCATTTCATGATATGAGGATATTCTTAAGAGTCACACTGTACTCCCTAGCACTTCAAGGCTGTGTGGTTTGGGGGCATATTCTTATTTCTGAAAGAGCATTGTAAACAATATGTGTGTTAGGTAGTTATTTGATTTTAAAAATTGGGGACAGCTAGGTGGCGCAGTGGATAGAGCACCAGCCCTAGATTCAGGAGGACCCGAGTTCAAATTCAGCCTCAGACCAAACACTTGACACTTACTAACTGTGTGACCCTGGGCAAGTCACTTAACCCCAATTGCCTAAAAAAATAAAAAATAAATAAAATAAAAATTGATTTAGAAGTCAAACTAACAGTGGACTTGGTCCCTACAACAGAAGAGAATGAAAAAGGCATGACTTGTTTGTGATAGACTATCCTTCCTATGTAACTATCACTTTCATCATTAATACAGTTCAACAAAGTGTAAGGTTTCCTAACTTAACAATCAGTGATTCTCTCACTAGTCTCCCTTTTCTGTGTCTTCAGCAGCCAAAGGGGATTTAAGTTCAAATCCTCAAGTGCTATGAAGAATATTTATGTATCTAATTCCTTAGCCTTGAAAAAGTAATTATAATTATAGGGTGTGGGCCCAAGATCTTGAAAACTCAGTGAGTTGTGATGAGGCTACAGCAAGTGCATGAAGGTAAAGAAACTTATCTATTTCATCCAAAGACACAGAAGAGATTTAATTACAATCTTTGAAATACCAATTACTTTTAAGTTAGATAGATTTTCTGAAATCCATTTTAGGCCCATAGTTGTTAACTTTGGGAGCACTGGTCTGGATGAATCACTGTCCTCATGGCCACAAACAGATCAGCTGAATTCCTCTTGGCTATAAGTAGCCAGTGGGGGTTATGTACCTCTTAACCTTCTGAATGGGCCAACAAAGCATGTGCAAGAAGTGTTTCTTTTATTTCATGGAACACTTAGCCAGAATTTATGGATTTTTGCCCATAGCAAGAGAATCCTTTCTTACAACTAAAACTTCTTGCTTGAGTTAACTTAGCTACGAAGATCATTGACTCCTCTCCATTGAATAGTTATTTCTATAGTGAAAAGAAATATATAGTGTATCTCAGGCATTTCACTTTGGATAAATTTATACCATCAGGGAAACATCATTTCAGTGTTGTAATCATTTACTAAAGTCCTTCTATTATGTGCTTTATCATAATGTGGTTCTCAAAGGTAACATTTGCCATGAAAGCAAAGGCTACAAGAGGTCCTGTCATACTGCAAAGGCTTCAGATACAGGTTCACCACTCTGTGTCTTAGGACTAGCCTTGCCAAGAGGGTCATCATCAGAAGACTGACCACTATTTGGTGGATTTTTTTTTTGGCCACCACAATTTAAGAAGCCACCCACTAAGGCACGACAAAGTTATTTTATACATGAGTGGATGGAGCATCTCCACTGACAGAATCACAGATCTTTTGAAAGATTAAAAATATATTCACCAAGAATAGCTTGAAACCTGCTGGATCCTCTACTTTCTGTTCCTAGAACATGTTCCATTATGCCTAGATATTGCGTACAGTTGTCCACTCAAAAGAAATGGTGTTGCTTATCATGATTCATTGTTACTACACATTGTGAATTTCTGTGTTCTTACACTCAGAGTACTTTCTTTTGAATTCTCATCTACAAATTCCAAATTTCCCATTTGAAGTTCCAACTGGACTTGGATTGCTTCTATTGCTATTAGATTTTAAAGATGGATTTAATCAAACATACCAGTTCTCCTTTGTCCCCAGGAAGACCATCAGCTCCAGCAATACCCTAAAAATGACATACCTCAATATTAACAGACCAAACCATATGGAAGGATGGTCATCACTCTCACCCCAACTCTCTGATGTTAAGGAATTGAGTGGTTTTCACAAAACAATACAAACTAAGGTCAATAACAACTCAGTCTCCATAATGCATGAACATAGATTATCTCTATCATGATCCCATTTTACCAGGTCATTTTCTAGCTAAATTAGATGATGACTGGTTAGCTTAGAATTATATTGTTTCAGATTTGGGATAATCTGAGTTACAGCCAGTACATCTGTCATTGCTATTGCCACCTAAACAGTTGGGAGTGAGGTGGGATTTCAAATCCAAATCTCCTAATCTTTTGCATGTACAAAGGTGAAGGATCTGAGCTTCAATCAGGTAGTCTAAAGGCAGGATTGGCAAACTGCAGCTAAGGACCTGGAGAGACAAGCACAAAGCTTTCCCACAAAGGAATGAAGGGAGAAAAAGCTTTATGCATTCAAAGCAACTTGGTTCTTCTCTCCCTGTCTCTGCTGCATTCTCCCAATCTGTCCTTTAGAGCTAAGTAGAGATGACCTAGAAATTGCTAATCACAATGGAGGTGTTAAACTTAAAAAAACCAAACCAAACCACTTCTACCTCTGCCCCCAAATCAATGGGTTTGTGTGTCATTGTGGATTTTTTTTCTGGGAATGGTTTGGACCAGCTGACCGCCGAGGTCATTCCCAATTCTGACATTCTATGGTTCTGTGAACATTTATTTTAATTTACCAAAATGAAATTCAAATATCTAGCTTAAGAGATAAGGATCCTTAATAATTCTGCATCAGTCACAACCTCCCTCTCTCCTTGCCCTCTCTCCCAAATCACGATTTTGGACACTGAACGTTCAGTTATATTTGTCAGCTATAGCTTGTGAATTGGCATGCAACCTAATTGGCTGTCTTACCAATTCTTTATTGGTCATTCTGGAAATGAAGAAGGCCCCTTTTTCAGTGAGCAGTAGCCCAAAGATGAAGCCAGAAAATGGACCACAGGAAGAGAGGAAAAAAGAAAGCCCACCAAGTACACAAGTAGATAAAAATGCCCACAGTCATTCATTATCTGTCCTTATAAAATGTCTCTCCTATTCAACTAAACTAATTGCCCAAAGTTGAGTCTGAATTAAGGCATGGATTTTGTTAAGAAAGAGTCAATACATCCTAATTCTCATGAAAATTTTCCTTGAACTTAGGAAGTTCAGTTACATGAACTACAAAAAGAAATGGTGAAGTGTTTTGGGAGAGTACTCATCTAGGAAAATCAGTCCAGTGATTATACTGAGTAAGGATGAAGCATGGTTTGTGGCAATGGTCTCAATTCCATATGGGTTGTATTATAGAATCATTGGAATGTTGTAGGTTTGCTCAGTAGTTAAAACCTGGAGATGATGAAGCCAGAGCTGGAGTTTAAATTTGGATAAGGGAATGGCTGAGTCAGTCCTCCTCCCCTGCTGGAGGAGGACCTATCAACAATGGTTCATCATCTTTGCCTACAAAGGACAGCTTCTTATTAGATGAATGAAAGTTTCCTCTTCATACCATGAGAGGGCGCCTGCCACTAAGTCGTAACTATAGAAACCCTGTAGTACCTAGCTTGCATCATCATCGATTGCTCTATCATTCTTTCTGTTACGTGAGATTCCAGCAATTGATGTCAATATGGATATTTCCACTGAAGCTAAAGCCTGAAGTCCCTTTTTAAATATGATCAGCACTCTTCGCCTCCTGAGTGAAGAGAAACTGAGATCTCAGCTTCTCTACTCACCTGGTTTCCTTTGGGACCTATAGCTCCTCCTGGGCCCTGTGGAGGGGAAGAAAAAGCAGCTGAGCAGAGGAATAACACTGATTCCTAATATGGTAAGGGCATGGTCACTGAGCCAGGAGCCAAACTCACAGTCAGTGAGGTAGCCTCAGACCACAGAGCCCTGAGACGTTGCTGTTCAACATGCAGTTTGTGTTCATAGGGGATTACAATAAGATTTAAGAAAATATTTGACAGTTATTGGGGATGATTCCTTCCCTTCCCTTTTTAATACAAAGACCAAAAATGTTCAAATTTTTCCCTTCAAATAAAAAGTAAAGACAAAAAGTTATGTATAATGATCATTAGCATGAAGTTGAATAAATATGTCTTTTCCTTTAGCTAAACCTACCAGGAGAACTTGGCTCATATTGCTGTGCCTTCTTGAATGAAAGCAGTTATTGATATGTTCCTAAGCTTAGCAACCATCCTGCCTTTCTGGGCTTCTATGTCATCTCAGGGGCCCCTAGAGCTTTTGGGTAATTTTTTCCAACCTCTGGAATGTCTAGCTTTTAGGTTAACAAAGGGCCCACTGTCCTAACTCCACAGGGCACTGGTTTATACTGAACTTCCACCTTCAAGAATGAATCAAGGTCTGAAGCATGGACTTCCCTCCATCTCCCCACTTGTCTGCTACGATGTACTGGGAAATAGGTGT